AACTCCTCCTACTCTAGCACTTCTGCCACATTCAGCTGCTGTAAAGCTCCTATAAATTAAGAAGTATTTAGCAAATTTGTCGATAATCACATAACAATAAAAATAATATAAGCGAAAAAATAGAATAAATTATTGTTATGTTTCTTTTATGTCCCTAAGAAACTTAAAATAGTTTATTCCTATCGTTACAATTTAAAACCTTACATCTTTAAAAAATATATTAAACTTTCTATAAAATCACTATATTGTGAATACAGCACAGGAGCAGTCATTTCTGTTGTTTGTCCGCGCACGACAGAGAAGTTAAAGTTTAAAAAGGGAGAAATATTGGTTTTTTTTTGCCGTCAAAAAAAAATTTTAAAAAATGAAATATAAACCGCAATTTTTATTCTTCCATTTAGCTTTTCTTAGCTTTGTCAGGTTATTTTATAAACAGTTATTTTCACTTACGTATCAGTGCTCAAGTGCATTTCTAACAAATTTGTTTCTTTATACACCTTTTCGCCAGAGAAGAAAAGAATAGAGATTTACATGAAAAAGCTATCATCACACTGAATTATGCTCCCAGGCTGTTATCTGTTCTGTAAAAGTGAGATGGTACCTATTTTACGCAAGTTTCCACGTTGCGGCTTTTCACAGTAGAAATTTATGTTTGTCTAAATTACATTAATTATCAACTCTAAGCTCAGATTGCTGTTACTTGTACAAAAAAAAATTTCTGTTTTGAATAATAACTTCTGCTTGTTGGTTTCTATAAATCTTTGTATCAGTTTTGCCTTACATAATTGGTCAAAAATTAAAATAACGTTTTCCAAAAATTGAAGCATTACTACTTTTTATGACTAATGCTTTTTTTTTTTAACTGCAGTAAACTTCGTTTATAATTTACATGTTTGAAATGTTAACAGCTGAGTAGCTTCATTTTCAAAAACAGTTTGAGAAAAAGTTTATTTAAGGATAGAGCTAAAATTATTGAAATTTACTTTCTCACTTTTTAAATTTTTGAAGAAAAAGATTTTTTCAGCGATGTCACTTTCTTTCGCAATTCTTGAACAGCGCATTCTTTTTATAGGTCATTTCGTTGTCTCGATACTTTCTCGGTAATTCTGCTGAGTTCTTTTCTTATCTGAAAGTACTAGAATTGCAAATGATGCTTTCAGTGTGAAATGCAAATAAATTTGATGAAAAAAACTACAACAGCTTAACAGCTTAAAAA